TTAGCGGGCTGTGGCGTTCAATCTCCCGCCTGTCAGTCCGGCGCCCGGGAGGCTGAGGCAGGAGGGTGCCACGAGTCCCGTGTTACGTAGCCAGACACTGTCCCCAAAACATCAAAAAGGAAAGAAAAGCTAGATAAACGTTCGGGGGCATCTTGGCGTCTGGGAGGGGAGGGCGACACCTCAGGAAGCAATCACGACGGACAGCGTGGAGAGTAGGGAGCCTTAAATCCCGAAAGGCCCGCCGTGTCAGTTCCCCGGGCGCGCACGTGTGGTGGCACGCACAGGTTGACGTCGATGGAGATTTTCAAGCCTTTCTCCAAGACAGAGACGAGGCATCGCCCAAGTGTCAGCCGCTGGGAGCACTTGCATCTCAGCGGAACTTGTTAGGGGCGTGGGACAGTCGGTTCCAGTCCGAGAGAGCGAGCGGGCAGCCCGGCTTCACACCCCGTGAGTGCTGGCTCGGCCTCGCAGGCCTCTAGGCAGCCCTGTCAGGAACGTGGGCTCTTCCCATCTCTGAGCAGAGGGCCACCCGTTCCCCAGCAGGTAGAAGACAGGGTTGGGCTTCAGGCCCGTGCTCGAGGGCCTCCCAGTTCCTCCCAGTCACTTCCGTTGCTCTGCTTGGGTCCCCCAGAGGCGCCCACGTCACCCTGCGTCCTACTACGGGCTCTGGCTGCGGCTCTCACCAGGCAGGCGAGGGACGGAGCTCTGGAGCGTGCTGTCCCACGCTGTCCCACGCTCTCGGCCTGAGTGCCGTTTGAAGACCTCCACGCCTTCCTAAACTCTCCTGAGAGCTTTGCCCTGCAGTTTTGAGGCACGTGCAGAAAGCTCCTTTTCTTACCTCTCTGGCCACAGCCACAGGGCATGTTAACAGCTGGACGCCTGATGTTTTAGTCAGGGCTTAGAGCATTCACAAGCATGATCTCGGTTCATCCTCAGCTCAGCGACCTACCCCTGCTTCCCAGGCCCGCAGCGCAGAGGGGCTGACCTTAGACCCAGCTGTCACATCCCTGCCTTCCCCTGACAGACCTCCATGACCGCCTGGCGTCCTGCAGGGAGAGGATTTGAAGAGAAGATTCCTGGAGAGTCTGCTGTCAGGAATACGTGAGGGTCCCTTCCATTCCTCACAGAAGTTACGTACTAAGATGCCTCAAAAATGTTAAGGATGAACCTTTGGGAGTGGGGATTTCTGTTTCTGTAGGGCTGGGTGGAACTCAGTGGTAGAGTGCTTGCCTAGCAAGCAGCAGGCCTTGCTTTGGTGCCCAACACCACAGGAAAAGGAGGAGAGGAGACCGTGCACACACACACACACAGTCTGAAACACTAAACACTAGCCAGTGTAGTGACCCACATCGATTTCCCAGCACTCTGGGAGGCAGAAGCAGGAGGACTGCCACTTCAAGCTCAACCTGGACATCTCGGTGATGTAGCAAAAAGCTGTCTCAAAATGAAAAAAAGATGACTGAGGATGGAGCTGTGTGAAGTTCAATCCCAGGTACTGATGAAATAGATACAGACATACGTACTTCCTGCCACTCTCAATAGGATATGGCAGAATAATCCTCTCAAGAGGAAAGCTTTCCTAACATTTTACTTAAATTAAAGGCATGGCTTATAAAGTAACAAGCTTAG